TAAAGCCAAAACAGGAGGACAAAGTGTTCTTCAACCCATTACATCATCTCAAATAGTAATCCTATTACATTAAGCTTTATCAATCCCAAAATAGTTTGGATTTGAGCAAATTATCCTTGTGTTAATAACGAAAACACATATGGTCATGTAAATTAATCATTTTTTTTCACTTGTGAGGCAATTATTTTACATTTAGATGCTTATGTGGCAAGAGACTCAATTGTTTAGGTCTTAATTTTGAGAATTTGCGCTATACGTTGCAAACATTTAAGCGTAAACATCAACATCTACGTGAACAGGAACTGTCAAATAAGCAAAAAAAAAAAAAATAATAATAATAATAAAGGATTGTTTAACTTATGTGACCCACGTGATTCTCTTGTTAACATAAGGGCTAATTTATTTAAATCTAGTCATTTGGGGGCTTGATGCCACATTTTTTCTTTGAGGGCTTCCACAAGAAAATGGAGAAGTCTAGGAGCTTAACATGGGTTTTTCCTTGTTTAAACTAGTTGTTTCAGTTTCTATTTAACAAAAAAATTTAAATACTTTTATTTCAATTCGTCTCGTTTGGAAAGAAAAAGAGATGCATTAGAGCTTTTTTGGGTTTTTTTTTTTTTTTTTTTTGGTATGATCATCCGGTATCCAGAAGCTTATTGGGCCACTGACTAATCTGGATTCGAGCCGGGTAGGACCCAATAGGCAGCAAAACTCTCCCTCATGAGTTTTAACGGAGCTGCATTCTCAGGGCTTGAACTCAAGACTTCTGGTTAACCTGAAAGAGTCCCAACCAACTCATTCACCCGCTCATAGGTAGAGCTTTTTTGGGTTTAGTTGTGTGATTAAGTGTAAAAACAAGAAGATTAGGATATATCAATTACTTTATTAAATCTTTTTCGAGAATTATGAATTGGTAAACGCATGAAGACAACTAAATCAAAATGGATAACAGTGAGGATTCAACATACTTGTCCAAATCATGACATTTTAATTTAAGGCTTTAAATATGTAGTGTCATCTTGTAGGTTAGAGTTTTGGTTTAGGTCTTGACGTTAATACTTAAAAAAATCATTTTTTTTTTAATGCATCAAGATGATTTGAGAAATGCATCTTTAAAATTGTTTGAGAAATAATTAGTCTCAATTTACATCAAAATTAATCCAAAGACACACTTGGCTAAAAAAAAAAAAAAATTCTAAAGGGGCGCCGCATATATAGGGGTAAATTGTGGTACTGCCATTTCTAGCTTGTTGAAATTTCATTCCCTTGAAATGGGAAATGAAAATGGCTTAGATTTGTATTTTCCAAGAACACGAGCACATTACAATTGTGTGTACAGAACAGAAGTGGTTTCCAGTGGTCAAATATTGCGCACAGACCATCTAGAAATTTTTAACTTTGATTCTACATATACCAGCACATGTCTGCGAAACATAGAATTCTCTTTTCCTCTTGACTATATAAGAGGGAATAAGCGAAATATTTTTCTAATCGACTTAATATTTAAATAGGATATCTTCAAGTTAAGTCTCAAACTTTGATTAACTAATATATTGAACCAATCCTTCGGGAACACTTGAATATATACATATGTATTTGAGAAAATCACTTAACTAAGGAGAAAAAAATAAAAAAATAAAAAAATAAAATCCTTAAGTAAGGAACATCTCACTAATTAAAAGGTTAAGTTTTTATATTAAAAATTTTAAATTCAGATTTTAAGATAGGTAGAGAGAGATTTCGGAAAAGAAGACTATTCGTTATTGTAGAGGCTATTATCTTATATATATATATATATATTAATACATATTAATTTTGACTTTTAAATAAAATTATAGTCATAACTTGTATTTAAAAGTCAAAATCTCAATTCAAAATTTAAAAATTCACTCTATTACATATTAATATCTAAATTTAAAAACCAATTATACATTTTAATATAATTAATTTTTAAATCTAAATATCAATATTTAATAAGATAAATTTTTAAATTTTAAATTAAATTTTAATAAAATAAAATAAATATAGTTTAAGGTTAAGACTCTAATTTATTTTAGAAGTTGAAATTGATATGTACTTTTCCTTTCTATATATATAATGAGGTGAAAAGTTGAATAATGATACATATTTTTTAATCTAATGGTTGGATCTACTAATCTGTAAATCAAATTTAAAGTTTAAGTTTTAAAAATACCATCTAAAAAAATTAATTTTTTTAAATTTATTAGACCGGTATATGGAGATTGCGCTCTTAAGATTTCCTTAAAAAAGGAATAATTCCGAGACGTGGAAAAACTAGTTTGGAAACATTTGACAGTAAATTAAAAAAAGAAATGATGCATACTTTTAGTTGCGGCCAAAAAAAGAAAAAAAGGAATGGTGCGTAATATTGGTATGTAGTTTGTGAAAGTTCCTAGCAAATATTTAAAATCAAATTTGTTTTATATGTATCATTCTATATGTGGACCTCTAAATTTAATTCAAGTCTGTCCAACGCAGAACCCACCCAATTTGTTTTTAATCAAGCAAATGTCAAAACACAACCTTTTAAAATTTGCCACGCTATGATAAAGGCAAAATTGACATTCTTAAAGGCTGAGCACATGATGAATATTTTGGCCTGGTCCCGTCCCACATGACCAAGTTTTCTCTTCAACTTTGTCACTTGTCAACTTTCTTTGGGCCACCTTTCCTTGCGTTGAATTTTCTAAATGACACAGCTGAGTCGGGATTATTTAAAAATTCATTTGAGGAAATTAAGGCAAATCTGTCCAATTACTTTTACCAAAGTTTGACTATATTTTGTTAATGAATTTGTTTAATTTGTGTTTTTAAATGTATAAGTTAAATTTTATTATTTATAAAATTTATAATCAATTTATATAAATTTTTATATCAAATTCATATCATTTTATAGATTTTAAGTATAAATATTATATTATATTTTAATTTTAAATTTTGTTTTAATTGAATTTAATATAAAATTTTATATAAATTAATTAAATATATGAAATACTACCTATCAGCTTTACTTCTTAAATATTATGAGAAAAATCATCTCAAAATTACGTAATTTTAATAAAGTACTATAAGAAAAGACAAAAAAATTTTAATTCATATTTTAAAAATATGGCATTTTAATTTTTTTTAATAGAGATTTATTAAAACGACATAGTTTTGAGATAATTTTTCTCATATTTTTTAGGAAATAAGGTTGATAGGAATTATGTTCTTAAATATTTTATATTTAATTAAATTAAACATGTATTTTTTACGCACAGGTTTAAAAATTTCTTTATTAATTAATTCTTTTGTTAAGATATATATGTAGACTCATTCCAGGGAGGGGAATGGAAAAGAAATAATAAATATCTCAAGCTCCAAGATTCAGTCACACTAGGCTGTTTATATCATTTTCGATATATATATGGTCGCTTGAAATGGCCTTACTTTTATTTATTATATCGGTGGATCAAAAACCTTGCTAAGAAAAAGCTAAAATTGATTTTCATAATTTAGTTAATATTTTATATATTTTTAACATTCGTCGGAAATATTTTTTGGGTCCGCTTTAAAAGATAAATTCAATCCAAAAGAATGTCAAAAGAAAAATAACATCATTATTGAATCTTCATGACTTGATGGTAAATAATCACAAAAAAAAAAAAGAAGAAGAAGAAGAAGAGAAAAACAGCTCTGTTTTAATGTGAATAGAGAGATATGTTATTTTATATTTTTTAAAAAAGGTATTTTGTATGTTATTCTTTTAAAAGTTTTGAAAGATATATTGAAAATTTTATTTTTAATTAATATTTTAAAAAATTAATTATTAAATTAAAAATTTATTCATATATATTATGCATATTAATTTTCATATATGTATTATATTTTACATTAAATTTTATATATGAATAAAACTTTTAATTCAATCATTAATTTTTAAAAATATTAATAAAAAATAAACTTTTAAAAAAATTTTAAAAAAAAAAATTTACCCTACACCATCCCCCTATAATTATGGTATATTAACAAATTTTTGGTAAAAGTACAATTCAGGAAGTAACTACAACCATATCATATTGTGTGTTTCATTTTGTGATAGCGCAGAGGAATACGTGGCGGACCACATCTTCATGGTGATAAAAGGTTGTCAGCCTGTGAAAGAAATATTTTTTAAATCAGTGAAAGTACGAGGAAAAAAAAGGTGTTGTGCACAAATATCACTATTTAATAATTTTTATTTTATAATTTAAATTATAAAATAATAATTTATTATGAATGGTCCATTCTAATAAGTGATATTAAACTTGAATTAAGACTGTTTATTTATTATGAGTGACATGTTCAAACCCCACAAAACTCATTTTTTCCTCTTTATATATATATATATATATGTAAATAATACCAAAGTTGTTAAAAAAAATAATTTATTATAAAATACAAGCAATATACCTACACCTACCGCCTAATCTCCCTGCCTATCCAATCTCCCTCCACTTAAACTACAGTAGCCTTTCTCATCCGTGAAGAGAGATTAATTTTCCTTTTTTTTGTTTTCTTAAAATTTTGTAAAGATTGGTGGTCTTTTAGTATGCACTTTATAAAAAAAAGGTTTAATTTTAATGTTGAAATTAATTATCAAAACTATATTACTAAATAAACATATAGCAAAATTTTATTAATAGCGTTTTGATCATTTTAATATGTACTCTACATTTTTTTTATGCAATTCCTATTTAGAAAAAAAAAAAAACCGTTTCTTATTTTCTATATCCATGTCCTTCCTTCTGTGCATCAGATAATTTTATATTTATATATAGAGGAGAATCAAAGGTAGACTTTTTCTAAGCTGATTTGGCAACTTACTACAAAAGAGTCTAACAACTTGACTTGACCTGAGCAAACGAACTCAATTTATGACCTTAATACTGACATTATTTAAGAAACTTCTCCAAGAGCTAGCCTGCATATATATCATCTTTCATTCTGACAGATCTATTCTGCGTCATATATGTAGCGTCCCGGCAAGAAATTAAGGATCCAACCAAACACAAGAGATCACCATGAGCAACACTCAACAAGATTATAAGAAGGAAGACGACGATCAGGTTCCGCTTCCTGGGTTTCGATTTCATCCAACAGATGAAGAGCTCCTAGGGTTTTATCTCAAACGAAAGGTTGAAAGGAAACCACTGCAGATCGAACTCATCAAACAGATCGACATCTACAAACATGATCCATGGGATCTTCCAAGTATGCTTTTAATTAGTTAGCTGCTCTTTTCATTTCACATGTGATTATGTATCTTCCTTCAATATTTCCTTTTGGTTTTTCTAGTTTTAATTAGATATTATCTAGGAAATTTGAAGGGTTTTCTGGAGAAAAAAACTTAAATTTTTAATAGCTTATTGAAGCCGGCCAAAAAAAATGCTTATTATAGAAAGAAATTCAGATTCTCTTCTTCCTCAGTTATAAGATTTATTAATATTTTACCATTAAGAAAAGATTTATTGATATTTCATGAGATTAATTACATGATATATGCATGAGAAGCTATGCATATAACATGATTTTATTTTAGATATCATATCTTCTTATTTAAAGTATAGAATTTGAAATTAAAAATTAATTTGAATTCGTTATTTCATTTATATTTGTTTTATAATGTATATGCTTTTCAATTTAATTACATGTAAAGGAATTAAAGGTAATTGTATTGAATTCTATCTAATTTATTTTTGGAAATAATAAAAGGTTTTATAAATTAGGCATCTCTAGCTATCTTGCTTTACTTTTATAATTTTCAACATTTATATATCTTATTGTGCATAATTAATCAAGCAGAGCCGAGCAGTGTAGGAGATAATGAGTCATATTTCTTCTGCAAACGAGGGAGAAAGTACAGGAACAGCATTAGACCGAACAGGGTGACCGGATCTGGATTTTGGAAAGCAACTGGCATTGACAAGCCTGTATACTCCCGCGGTGGGGAAGGCCATGATTGCATTGGCCTCAAGAAAACATTAGTATACTACCGAGGAAGTGCAGGAAAAGGAACCAAAACCGACTGGATGATGCATGAATTTCGCCTTCCTGGCAACAATAATGACACCAGCAAATCTTCCAATGATAAATTTAGCACCCAAGAAGCTGTAAGAAAACATAAAATCATTACTTGTTTACAAAATTTCTACAATCTAACAGCTTGTTTTACTTATTACAGGAAGTGTGGACTATTTGCAGAATTTTCAAACGAAATTCTTCACAAAGAAAGTTAATCATACCCGTTCAATCGAGAGAAAATGCTAAAAGACATTCAACTGATCATCATCATCAAACAAGTAGTTCAAAAGCCTGCGGCATGGAATCGAATAACAAAGAAAGCTACATTAGTTTTGGGGCTCCAGCTGCCATTGACATACATCATCATCATTTCCATGATCAGAAGCCAGTCGTGAATCATAGTAATATTATCAATAATGAAGGAGGAAGCATGCAGTGGCAGCAAGGAGAGCAGTGCATGAGCATTGTAACTCACGGTCATCAACTTGTATCGACCATGGTATCTACTTCTCCTTCGAGCTTTTCAGATTTTCCAGAGGGTAATATCAACTATGATCAGTTGTTCACGTATGGGAACTGGGATGAACTCAGATCTGTTGTAGAGTTTTCCATGGATCCATCTCTTCTGTAAATGCTTATTAGTCTTCACTTGTGATTGCATGTGTGCAATATAGTACTAAGTAATTAATTAATTAAGGAGAAGCTAGGGTGGGATTTTATCACAAAGTCTTACATTTGGAGATTCTGATCTTGCCTGTATTTTGATATATAGCCAGTGCTACTGGGAACATATATGACATGACACTTTATATATGCGTTGTACCATGAATTTTTTTTTTTTCTATAGTATGGGTACTCAGATTTCTGGTATAAAAAAATAGGATTATAATATATTTTTTTATAATGTTGTATATAATATAGTTGATAAAACAATGTTTTATATATTCACAAAAAAAAAATGTTTTCTATTATATATGAAATGAAAGTTTGTATGATTTCTTTTCTTTTTTTTTAAGAAAAAGAAATTATAACTATTATGCATTCCGCTTTTTATACATATATTAAATGAAGTGAACATTAATTATTGTACCAAAAAATATTAGTTTTAAGATTTTCGAATATTTTCCTTTGAAATATTGATCCGTTGTGTATATATGATCATATGGTGTATTTGAAATTATTGTGAAATGCTATGATTATAATTGTAATTGTGGTTGTGTCGAATTGTATTGTATTGTAAATGTAATTAAAAGTTATTTTGATATTTGATTATTTATTTTTTAAAACTATTATGAATGAAATATGATAAATTTTATTAATTATTAATTAAGATTTAACAACATTGTAAAATATATAATTCTTAAAATAGATAATATTTATTATTTTTCAATAATTTACGTGTTTTAAATTTGTTATCATTATTAAAATATTATAAATTATGATGTAATTAAATTATACAAAATTAAATTTTAATAAGTAATTTTATAATTATATTAAATATTAAGTATTTTCTATAAAATCATAGTAAAAAAATTTTAAAATGAAATTTTTGATTTTATATATAAAATTACTGTAGATATATTATGATTTTTTGTAGCTTTTAAAAAAATAATCTAAAAAATTTATCGAGTATAAAATATTTAAAAATACTATATAATTATATAAAAAACCTCCTAGCTACAATACCAAATGTACCTGTATGTACTAATGATCTGTTGGTCCGAATAGAAGAAGTTTGATTTTCCTTAAATAAGATCTCAAGTTCAAGTTTTGTAAATAAAGAAACAAACGTTGAGAGAGTTTTCTTCTAATAAAATCTGACGTGATTCGATTCGAAATTAATTGAAATCCAATATGATTACTAAATGTTCAGAGATTAGTATGTAAAAATGTACCCGTAGGTAATATTATTATAGGTTTTCAATCGGCGCCAGGTCCAAACAGAAATTGCCGACGGTTATGAAATGACCCTTATGCCCTGAGTGTACGTTTTTGACTTGAACTCCTTTATTGAGGGCATAAATGTCATATCATGTCTGCATTGGCAATTTTTTAGGTCAGTTTGGAGTGAAACCTTTTTCTTTAATATTGTTTCCCCTAATTCGTAAATTTTGAAGATAAAGCCTCTAATTGACTTAAAATATGATAATTTTCCATCCAAGAGGCTAATGTTCGGAGACACAAAAACCTATCAAAAAAAGAAGCTCAGAGGATAACCTCCCAAAACAAAGACAACAACTGTACAGCCTCAACCCTCAACGCATATATATGGCTAACCTCTTCAACGCAACTAGTAAGTAAACATGTGCCAATATATCCCTAATTAACTAAAGGGAAACAAAACACCGCCCATTTTCTCTTTTTATCCAAACATTAAGTCAAAAGCTCTACCCTCATCCTGCCGACTATATCCAAAACACCATTAGTGCATTTCTTGAATTTCAAATGTACTACTTTGCTACAGAATAACTGAAAAGATCAACAAAGGCCACAATTTCAAAACCTTTCCTGTCAAGGTGACCAAAGACAAACTATATTCAATGCTCTGTCACTGTAACCTTGGACACACAAATTAAGGTTAAGCCCCAGCCTTTACAGCATAGCATCCGCATTCCGCAAACTATAAGACCTTTCACATTTGAGAAGGATCCTATCTGCCGCCCCACACGGTGAAATAACTATTCACCGGCCACCACCCAAAAATTAACTAATAAAATTATTTATTAATTTTATTATTTATTGCCGTTCCAAAAAGGAAAAAAAACCAAATCAACGGCCTAATGTGAAATTTTTATGCATACATAAAATAATTAAGTAAGAACAAATAGAATAGAAGTTTTCTTCAAAAATAAAATAGAGAAAAAACTTTAACCATAACTTGTTTTAAAAGAGAACTTGTAATGTGCGTGTGCACCGCTTGACATGCTAACAGGCAGTGAACTACATTCCTTTTCTGCAATGATCTAATGGCTAACAATTTTTTAAGGTTGTGTTTAGAAATGTGTATTTGTATTTGATGTGTGTATTTAAAATATATAAATTTTAAATACATATATTTCAAAATGCATTGTTTGGATTGATTTTCAAAATTGAATTTTAAATATGTGTATATTTAAATACATTGTTTAGATTATTAAACTGTAACGCATTTAAAATTGAATTTCTTGTTAAATTAAATATTTTTTAATTATTTTGATGAAATACAAGAATTTAGGATTGAAATTCCTGGGTTAGAAGATGTATTTGAAATAGATAGAAATTTAACTTGGAAATATAATATTTTAAATATATGTATTTAAACGAAATTCAAATACATTATATTTAAGTAAAAACAAACAATATATTTAAATTTAGAGTTCCAAATTCAAATACACTCTAACCAAATTCAAGTTCCCAAACATATCAAAAAGGTTTTTTTAATTCAAATCACTTTGAGGAAATTCTACATAGATATATAAAATGGAGAAGATATGTTCTATTAAGTATTCTATTCGAGAGTTAAATATTTAAAATATGAATTTATATAAAATAATATTAATTGTGATAATTATGTGGTACCAAAATAAATTTTTTCATTACTCCCCATTATACATGTTGTGATAGTTGAGTCCCAACCAATGATGTGATATTATATACAATTACTTTCCATGATCAATGCGTCGAACAATCATTAATGTTACACTGCTAGTATGAATTTCCACTCGTTAGAAATGAAACAATGTGAGTTTTTGGCCCAATGAGTCTACACGGGCCCAATTACCATCACTTTGTTCTCTTCACCACCTGAACTGACAACAGAGTCAGAGACTAAGTCCAAAAGGACCAACACCCATCAAAGAGGAATGCTGTTGTCACCACTCAACTGAAATCCATTTTCCGGCGAAATTCGTCCATCTACAAGTTCAGGTCATCGGAGAAAGAAAGCTCAAGTAGCTGTGGACGAAGGTTGTTCAATGGCGATTATCGTTAATTTCAGAGACAGCCATGGAAAATTGAAAAACCCAGCCAACGAGAACTTCATTCGGCCCAATTTGCCCGTTTAGGCCCAAGTACTATTTTTTAATCTCTCTCACTACTCACACTCATTTCCTCTTCTTCTCCCTCGTTATCTTTGCGCCCCCAGAATCAAGTTTCTGGAGAACCCATCTCAGTTCAGCCAGAGGTTGACCTTGACTTCTAATTGAAGAAGGAAAGTTTCAGTTGGGAACTGGGGTTCTTGAATTAAATGGTAAATCTCTATTTTTTTTCCCTCTCCATTTCTGTAATTTTTGTGTTCTTGATCTGATGGACCTCACTTGATCTTGACACACTTGCTATTTTTGAATCACGGTTTCTGTTGCATTTCTTGAATTAATGGATGCTAGATGGAACACCCAATTGCACCAGTGGCTTGATGAATGGGTCACCATTATTGGGTTTTAGTTTAAGATGGGATTTATGGGAATTTTACATCAGGACATAAAAGCCAAGCTTAGATTTTTCACTCATTGGTACTGTTATTCTAACATTCTTCTTTGTATTTTTTTTTCAATCAGATGATAGACCGTTACTCAATAGCTTTCTATTTGGTACTGTCATGTGTTATTGGAATCTTGGATGCTAGTGCTGGGGATGCCGATCCACGTTACAGGTTCTCTTTTTTGCCCTACTGTCTAATATCTTTTTGGCAGTATGGGTGCTCTAATTTTAGCATATTTCTGGAGCTTAATGCTTGTGAGTTCTGATATTACTGCACTTTCAACTAAGTTTATTCTTTCTCTTAACTAAAGAGATTAGAGTTGCTCAAGTTACTACACCCTCTTTATTTGTATGCTAAAAGCATACTCAGGTTAGTGATGGTTGCCTCTCATGCTTGAAATAGGTTTTAAACTGAAGGAAATCTAAGACAAGAATATGCTGTACAAAATTCTGTCACTGTCTTCTTATTATGGTTTGGCATGCCCTATAAATTCTGTTATTTCAATTCTTAATCCAGTTTCCAGTTTTTTTAAAGAAAAAAAAATTGATTTAAAGTATTATAGGTAGGTCTACTATAGGATCGGACATTCTGAATATTTTGTCAATTGTCATAACACAACAATTCTCTTAACATAAATGTCTGTAGCAGAAAATGTATTTAGGATTTTGTTCATATGCAAGCAGGTATGATATTCATATGCAAGCACATATATCATACACATGATATAAATTTTTGTGACTTTATGTTGTCTTATGTATGTAAACATATAACTGAGCTTCAACTTTGGCTAGACTGGATTTGGCACTCCCCCATTCTCACATCATAATCCTGTTATTGTGTTAATGATTCCATTCATCTGACCTGGCAGCATGTGGATTTTCATTTGATGCTAACAAGTCATGTCTCAATGAGGGATGATAAGTAGTCTAAAGAAATGTGCATCTGAGCCTAATATCTTTTATATTTGATAATATGATTAATTATCTTACCAACAGCAGCAAATTTTCTGCCCATCTTTTTCTCTATCAGAAATACATTATCCATCTTCAAAACAGACATATTGTTATTTTATAATGATTGACAAGGTGTTTAGAGTTGCTTAATGATAACTGAAACAATAACTAATAGGATGTATGCTGGGAAAGGATTGTTATGCAAGAAGAGAAGTGATAGAGACTGAGGCAAGCATTAACAGAGACACCAGTGCCCAGACTTTTGTACTGTCAAGTTAGACATTCAAAGAGTGAAACTTCTTTTTTCAAAATCTTTTACTGGTTGACTAGCTCTTCAGTTTCTGATCTGTCTATTCCTTTTTGGTTTCATTGGATAGCTTTATCTTTTCTTCTTGTTGTTATTATGTCCATTCTATACTTCCAACTAGGGCTGTGTTCCTTTATGCCGTTCTATTAAGAGCTTTTTCCCCAGTAGGCCTTTTCACATCTCTGTCCCTCTCTTTCTCTTCTTTGGGGGTGGGGTGGGGGAGGGGGGTTTCCTTCTCAAGGTTTACGAATCCATTTCCCAAATTTTCATTTGTATCTAGGAAGCTTCTGCTAGTATTCTTTCCCTGAAATGGTTTTGTTGAATGTGGCTGTATGAGCTGCTTCCAGTACCACAACAATCCCCTTGTCCTTTTCATCATGTTAGAACTTTATTTGGTTGATGATGAGCTTCTCTACATTTTCTTTTTGATCGGCAATAATGAATTTATTGTTGATGTGTCTACAAGATGAGCTTCCTTATGTGTCTTGGTGATCTGTAGGTAAAGCTTTTCAAAGCATTGTAGAGGCTTTATGGAGATCTCCTTATCTTGCCTTCTCACGCCAAAGGTCGCTGTAAAATGTATTTATTTTGTCAAAGCATTTGGATAATTTGTATGCTAGTAAAATGCCCACCTTTCATTGTGGTTTCAGACATGCTGTAACCACATTCTGTTGTCAAGTTGCCCACAAAGGAAGAAAGAAGGAAATAAGGAAATAATGAAGTAATAATGCCAATGAGTCATATCTTAGTTTACTAACTTGTGTGGGATGAATGTTAAGTACTTGCTATGGACTGTTTCATGGCACATTCTTATTACTTTGTCTTGAAATTGATTTTTCTTCTTGTATTGCTTAATGAAACCCAATATGAAATTATTAGAATTTGATATTTAAATAGTTTATATTGTGGCATCTTTGTACTTTAGGGCTTGTGTTGCACAATGTGAAAAGACTGGATGCATTGGGGAAAGATGTTTTCCACACTGCAACTTTTCTTCAGATGGGGTCTCCATTGACGGTCCATGGTATATGCAAGAACCCCTTTACTTGAAGTGGAAACAGTGGGATTGCCAAAGTGATTGTCGTTACAATTGTATGATGGATAGAGAAAAAGAACGAGAATCAAATGGTGATGGACCTGTCAAGTATCATGGAAAATGGCCCTTCACGCGAGTTTATGGGATTCAGGTTTGCTCATCTACATCCTTTCTACCTCAATAAGAATCTCTGGGTTATCTTGAGATGATTGTAAGGTTTTCTATAGTATCTGTCTTGATGTGTTTTATCAGGAACCTGCTTCTGTTGTTTTCTCTGCTCTCAACCTAGCAATGCATTTTCATGGTTGGATATCCTTCTTCATTCTTCTGAACTATAAGTTGCCCCTGAAACAAAATAAAAAGGCATACTATGAGTATGCTTCCTTGTGGCATATCTATGGGCTATTGTCAATGAACTCATGGTTCTGGAGTGCTGTTTTCCATAGTCGGTAAGCATTTCCCTTCCTGTGCCCTCCCGTCTATTTTCCTTTTAAATGAATATGGTTGGCATGTGGGAACATCAAATCTAGATTTTGCTTTGAAATTTAGGTCCCTTTCTACTTGGAGCTAAGATTTTATTAGGGTGACTTACTGCCTAGTTTAGTTGTGCACAATTCCAGAAAATACTAGGGTACTTCTCTTGAGATGGAATATTCAGCTGATAATAACAGTTATTACTGCCAATTATGCCTACATATATTATTTATCTTGGTGGCTTATTGCTTCATCCTGATTGAACTCATTCAGTAATCAGTATCCCAGCATATGCAAACTATATAGATTTAGGTGTTCCTTTGAAGACCAAGAAGATAGTACTTTTGAGTTAGTCTGGTCCACTATGATGGCTCTCACCTAATTTTGGTCTTGCCAAGATATGAATATTCTAGAATGGACCTAGCCCTCAGCATTTTAGCATTGCTTTCCTCAATCAAATGATTCAAATCGGCTTCTGTGCGCAAGAGCTTTATTTTTTATTTTTTTGTGTTACAACAATCACCCTCAAAAGTATGTGCACATGTAAACTTTACCCAACTAATTTGTTGTGTCTGTTGGAGCTGTAGTGATGTAGATTTGACGGAGAAGTTAGACTATTCATCAGCTGTGGCATTGCTTGGGTATTCTCTCATTCTAGCGTTGCTAAGAAGTTTCAATGTGAGGGAAGAGGCTGCTAGAGTCATGGCTGCTGCTCCGCTGCTTGCTTTCATCACTACCCACATATTGTATCTAAACTTCTATCAATTAGACTATGGTAACAACTTTGCTCTTTAGTTTTATTCTCATTATGAGATTTTACCCGTGGAATATATACAGAATGTGTTCTTGTTTAACTTTATTACTAGCAAAAAAAGAGCACCGCATAATTTGAAAAGTTTGCTTGCTCAAATCTGATAGATTGAATGATTTTCCCCAGGATTACTAGTAATACTGATGTTACGTCGGATATTGTACAGGGTGGAACATGAAAGTTTGTGTTGTAATGGCAGTCGCTCAACTTCTTATTTGGGCAATCTGGGCTGGTGTGACTCACCATCCTTCTCGCTGGAAGTTGTGGGTGGTGGTGATTGGAGGCGGCCTTGCGATGCTTCTTGAGATCTACGACTTCCCTCCTTACCGAGGATTCTTTGATGCTCATGCTGTCTGGCATGCCACCACAATTCCACTTACCTACTTATGGTGGAGTTTCATCAGAGATGACGCCGAGTTCCGAACTACGAATCTCGTCAAGAAGGCCAAGTAGCTCGATGTAAAACTTATGAAAACCACTCTCAATAGTGCCTTCACTGGCAAGAATTATCTTTGATAGATCTGCTAGAGTTGTTTTGTTTCTGTTGTTTGCCCGTAATCTTATCTTTCTTTCTTGTTACCTTGTAACAAGGAATGAGATTTGGAGAGCTTAGTTTAGCATTGGGTTGGTAACATCTTTTTGCACTCCAACCATGTTTGTTTGATGTTCGATTTGATTCCTGAACTAAAAATTTGTTCAATGCAGTACTTTTTCTAATTCATTTATTTTCATTAATAATTTTGCCCACATTCCATTTCTAACAGCCGCCTAGCCTGATTTTGACGTATTTTTTACGATATTTTGTAATGTCTTATCTCGTAATTTTAATGTTTTTTTTAAAACTTATTTTAATATATATAATTTTAATTAAAATAAATATTAAATATGTAAAATATGTTTTATATGTTTAAAAATATATATCAATTTTAATTTTTAAAATAAACTAAAATTTTAATATTAAATTATAAACTTAATTTAAAATTTAAAATTTTATTTTATTAAATTTAAGCATCATTTTTTAAATTTTAAATTAAAATTTTGATTTTTAAATATAAATATAAATTTTAATTTTTTTAAAAATTTAAATTGATAAGTGCAACTTTTTATATATTTTTAAAATATTAAAAGATAAAAAAAAATTCTATTGCTGTAATTACACGTTAGCATTGTCTAATTAGGCGTTAGTATTTTCATCAAAGGATTCGATAGGAGGACAGCTTTCCACAGACGAAACTTAGAATTAAGAGAAAAATTGAGAGTCAGTTTATGAACCTGGCTGGAAAGAAGAGTTCTGAATTAAAACTTTTCGCAGTAGAATGTTTATCAAAAAGCAACAAATAACCACACCAGAAAGAATCAACAAAGACAGGCCTCAAACTGGGAAGCAATGTTGCGCAATTTAATATTCCCCAAGAAATGAAGAAATTAAAAAAGTCACATGATAGTGATGATACTACCCAAAATCCATTGTAAATAGCCACAAAAGGAAATTATAAGTTCGGGTAACAGAAAAAACCTATCGAAGATTAATGGGGAAAAAATAACACAGCAAAGAATATAGGGGGGTAAAGACTTGAGTTCAAGTTTAACAATTCCAACTAGAAGAACAAGCTTACAGCTTGTCCTCGTATTCTGAAAGTGGGGTCATCTGCTCCTTCAAGCCCTTCCTCTTGCGGATATCAGCGACAAGAACAGCAGCCTGAGTACCAGGTTCCAATGGGTCTGATGACATCATATCCCAGTGGTCGAACACACATTGTGGGAAGGCTTGCCCTGATGTTGCTGCCCTGAGGGTGCTTGAGAATCCAAAAGACTCAATGACAGGAAGGTATGCCTTGATGTTGTAAAGTGGGGTACCAGGCCTCTGCAATTCTTCAAACACATGCCCACGCTTCTGGTTAAGAACACTGTAAATACCACCAAGTGCCTGCTCAGGAGCTTGGATCTCCACCAAGTAGACTGGCTCCAGAAGCCTTGGTTTAGCTGTAAGCTGGGAAGCATAGAACACCCTCCTAGCTGTTGGAATGATCTGACCACCACCCCTGTGGATAGCATCAGCATGAAGAACAACATCACAAACCTCAAAGCAAATGCCCCTCATGTTCTCTTCAGCCATTGCACCTTCTTTTGATGCCCACTGGAAACCAGCAACTACAGAGTCCTTAATTTCATTCAGATACTGAACTCCTTTACACATATCAACTACCATGTTAGGACCAGTGGTCTCAGGGCCAAAACACCAGATTTTCTTGGCAAGATCCTTGTCCCAACCATACTCTTCTGAGAGGATCTTCGATCGAGCTTTAGGATCATCTCTTGGACCAATACGACCATCGTCAATAGCTTCTGCAAGACCTTCCTCCATTGGACGGGCTTCCATGTAAAGACGGTTGTGCTTGTTGGGGGACTTGCTCATCACTGTTCGGCAGGACCTCTCAAGCACAGTCTCACGGAAAGATACAACGGGATCTGATTTTATGATCTCAGCTCCACCCATAAAATCTTCCTGCAAATCCTTCAAACAGATCTCAAGGTGAAGTTCACCAGCACCAGCAACAATATGCTCTCCAGACTCCTCAATTGCACAAACGACCATAGGATCTGACTTTGCCAAACGCTTCAGCCCTTCAACAAGTTTGGGAAGGTCAGAAGCAACCTTGCACTGAACAGCAACACGGACAACGGGTGAGACAGAGAACTTCATTGCACGGATGGGATGAGCATCCACTTCCTTCTCATTTGTCAGGGTGGCATTTTTGGTGATGAACTGATCCAAACCAACCATGGCAACAGTGTTACCGCAAGGGACATCCTCAACAGTTTCCTGCTTCTTTCCCATCCATATGACTGTTCTCTGAACACTCTTCACATACAAATCTTTCTTCTCACCAGGAACATAGTTTGGACCCATGATCCTGACCTTCAACCCGGTAGAGACCTTACCAGCAAAGACACGACCAAATGCAAAGAACCTACCCTTATCAGATGCAGGAATCATCTTGGATACATAGAGCATAAGAGGACCTTCAGGATCACAGTTCCTAATGGCAGTTGCATAAGCATCATCAAGAGGACCCTCATACAAGTTCTCAACACGGTACTTCTGAGCCTTGGAAGGGGAAGGAAGGTGGTGTATCATCATTTCAAGGAGGGCATTACTTGCAGGGAGCCAAGTCTGCATTACACGCTTCATTAGTGCCTTACCCATCAAGTCCTTCTCTTCTGCCTTCATGGTAACGTTGAGCTTTTGTAACATGGGCCACAGTTTATCTTTCTGGTCATTCATGCAAGTGCTGATAATTTGCTTGATGGGTTCATAACAGAATTGAACAAATCCACGCTTGCAGGTGGGAGAACCAGTGTTCTTGTTTGTCCACTTCTTGGTAGCAGGATCAAAAAAGTTCTCACCCCAAAGTCTTTCCATCATTTTTGACTCATCAACTCCAAACCTGGATGCATACATCTTGGCGAAGTTAGACAATGTAAAAGCCCAGCCATGGAGACCAGCAGAGAAGGCAACAGTTCCCTTCTCAGGGTAAACTTGGACATCACCAAGGAGAGGATCTTCATAAGTAGCCATGATGACATTGGCATTTTCAATCACCCTCTGGAATGTCTGATAAGCCTCCTCACCATCAACCTGGAGCTCAAGGAAGCACCTGTCCATCTTGTTAACAGTCAAGACAGGCCTAATCCTTTCTCCCAGAGCTTGTCTCAGCACAGTTTCAGTTTGCACACAAACCCCCTCAACGCAATCCACCACCACAAGGGCACCATCAGTAATACGTAGAGCAGCTGTAACCTCAGAAGAAAAGTCAACATGCCCAGGAGAATCAATAAGATTGATAAGATATTCATTTCCCTGTCGCTCTCCCTTGTAGCCCTTCAAAGCTTCGTCTGACATCTCGTAATACAACGAGATACCAGTAGACTTAATTGTAATGCCACGTTCTGCCTCATCAGCACGAGTATCAGTCATCCGGACATCACCTGCAACTTCCTGGGCAATGATGCCAGCAGCTGCCACGAGGGAGTCAGTTAGGGTAGACTTCCCTGCAGGACAATAAAAGCAGCATTAGCATAATGGGGAAAAAAAAAAAAAAATCAACACAACATACTTCAAGTTTTGATCTAATCAATAAAAAAGAACACAAACCATGAAGAAAAAAATATTACATTTATATTTCTTTGAAGAAAATATGATAAAGCCCCAGATCCTTCACCATGAAAAAAGAAGCAATTCTTTACTGTTCTCCAAGTTCAAGTTGACTAGAAATTTACACCAAGCATTAAGCCAGTGTTCAAAATTCAAACTCATACCGTGATCGACATGAGCAATAACAGACATGTTCCTAATATTATGCTTGTAGTCCATAATCCTACGAAGCTCATCAACTGTGAACTTCACCTGTACAACAAGAGAAGATACACTCCATTAAAAACTAGAAAAAAGGAAAAAACAAAAAAAAGATTCTTCGTAAAGTAGGTCTGATTGAGTGAACTTACCATCTTGACTGGTCTTCAAACGGCACCAACTGCTATTTCCTGCAAGCCAAGATGATCAAAAGGTCATAATGAGAAGCAGTTAGAACAAACTTCTCAAACTATGGATCATAGAACAACAGAATCAGACGTAAACTGAAAATTTTGATTACAGAAGCGATGGTGCTTCAGATCTAGAATCAACAGAGAGAAAACTCGAAGTATAGTACCGGAGAACAGTGTTCAAGACAGGAAATGGATTGAGGAAGATGAAGGAACGAACCTGAAGAGAAAAATAGGTGGCTACGCAGCAAACGAATTATGCAGCCACTCTTCAGTGAGAAGGAAGTAGGGGATGAATGGAGTATAAATAGGATAAGCGTTTTTCTTTCTTTATTTGGTGTACGAAAATACACCCTGTATAGGATTGATGGCAAAATGCATCTAGGGTTTTTTCATGGCCCAATGGGCAATCCGACGTCGTTTAGGGTATTTTCTCGGACTTTAAACCGGCCCGAGAATGATTTTCGGATGGATCATTTGTATTTTGCATTGCATTATTGCGTCTCTCTTTCCTTTTTTTCATACCCTTTTTTCTTTTTCATTATTAGGTTACATTTTGGTGGGCTAGGCTTGCAGCCATGCAACCCCTCCAGCTCTCTTGTCCCATTTTCCACCCAACTCAAGTGTTTATGTTGACTCCCAAAAATAAACGAGTCATCATGTGAGTTCTTATTAAATCTCTCATTCATTACATGGTTAGGTTTAAATATTTTAACATTATTAAATGACAGGACATTTTCCCTTTCTGATAATAAAATACTGGTGGATACCTTTTATACTTGCGCAAATAGAAGGAATTGGACAACAATAAATTTGGACAAGTTGGTACCATAAGTCGAAAATCTTAATTACGAGGGAAATGGTTAAGGAATTTAAGTTCCAACAATGTTAAGTGCTATCTTCTCTTGCCAATAAAAAAAAAAATGGAATGGCAAAATAAAGATAAAGACGATGATGATGATGAAAAAAAAATAAAAAAAAGAAGGCAGAAAAATCAGCTGAAAACAATAGAAAAGAAAGTAAACATTTGTCCATTCATCCTAAGCTGTCAGTGCCAGCTTGAGCTGCCCTGCAATTGAAGGTAATTTGATCATAATTAATCAACATTAAGCCGTCATATTTGTGTCACATATATTTTCAAGTTTAAAACGATTAAATATAATTACAGCTACTTCAATTGTTGAATTTCAGTTGTCAGAGTAAATGATGCATTGCACACAAGCTGAATCAATGTACATCAAGAACCATAAAAGGAGTTCTAAGAAGAAAATAGCCAATGTTTACCATGTACATTCTGTTTTCTACTTCTAATCACGACTGAACTGAACATTACAATCAACTGACTTAAAGTTAGTTAGTGCACTCGGTCCATGCAGTAGAACTGATGCACGGTCATACGCCATTGCTGCCTCCTCAGCAGTCCGGTACGTACCCAACCACAACCGTGTACCGTGTTTACTGTCTCTTATCTCTGCTACCCAAGATCCCCAGGGCCTCTGCCTCACACCTCTGTACTTCTTCCCCTCTGCTTTACTGCAGTGTGAAACATTTTCCTTACCTGTTGAGGATGGTGGGCATATGCTAACCTCCTTCACAAACTTCTTGGGTCGTTTCCTTGGACGGCTGTCCTCATCATCACTTGAGGAATCAGTTGCTTCTGCATCAGTCACCGATATCCTTACCACTCTTGGCAACAACTGGGGTTTTGGTTTTTCTTCTGCTTCTGGAAGCGGAATCTCCTTGTTCTGATTCTTCTGCTTGGCTGCTGAATCAAAGTATTGTAGAAGAGGGAAAAGATACTAAATCCTCCAATCCTTTTAAGATTTCAACTTGGTATATAGCAGATGCGTATCATATTTACATTCATGCAAATCAACTCTTGTTAAGGTCAATATTAACTATCTTCCAAATTATACCATTAATTAACACCAAAACCTTCCTATGTGGCCAAAAAGGAAAAAACACCTACAAATTTCCTATTTCCATTCACAACAGATTTTCTATAATAGCTAGGTAGTATCTACAGAATTCTGATTGCTTAATGCCAATGCTATTTGCATAACAACAGTTAAAAGTAAATACTGGTTAACTCATTGGCAATAGATTTAAAATTGAAAATCTTACCTTCCATTGGATCCTCTTTAATGTTTGGCTGGTCATCCTTGACAATGGGTGATCCTTTAAGCAAGACCTTTATCTTCAATTTGTCAAGTTTGCTCCGATGAAACAGAGGATATCCACTATTTCTATGTGAAATATCTATCTTTTTGCTCCTTTTCGAAATCACATGAATTCGATCTGAACATGTAGAAAGAAGAAGTCAGATTGTGTCTATAAATTTATCTAATCAGCTTAGGAAATTGGTGGAAAAGAAAGTTCGTCAATGTAATTAATCATTCCATACCTGCTTCCATTCCCCTCTCTTACTGTGGTGTCACAGTTTGGCAAAGAAAAATCCCTACTCCAAAATGCAGCACAAGTGTTTGATCAAATGCGCGAACCACATTGACACCCATGTGGATACTTTCCACTCTATCTTCTTAGACCTACAATGGGGAATTACAGCGCATTTTTCATATGCCGAAGAAAGCCTAATACTAACAATTCGCAGCCTCAGAGAGAAATAAAAAGAAGCCACAAAAACAA